GCAGTCAATCTTTTCATTTGGATGCTGTGTATGATCCTCCAAGTTACTTGGGCGAGAAAGGCATTCGGTTGTTGCGATAGGTCAGGTCACCAAATTTGTGCTCTGACTGAACCCTTAAGTTTACCTTAGGCTCACGATTACCAGTCTTATGTTGGGCTTGCTACTAAGCACAGTCAGAGAGTGTGAATTATTGGGAACATATACATCCCCGGCAAATCCAAAGGTTAAGAATTCTTTAGATGAGGTGTTCCCAATCTGGTCTGCGATCTGGATCCAGGTTGTAGTTCAGCTTCTGGGGAGGTGAGGTATTCTGAGGCATGCTCTGCAAACCAAAGAGAACTTCGTTTCCGCGCATCGCCTATTCCCCCCATGTACAGGGGGGGGGGGGGCAAAAAAGAATTTTGCCCAGGTCGCACTTCGGCCTTTTTTCTTCGCAGAGATTGCCGTCGTTGACGGAAGTTCCTCAGCAAAATATTCCCTAAATGTCCCTCTATAAGTACACGCAGGCCCTCCTTCACTACCCTCACCGTCTTCAGAATATGACGTCATCTGTCACCGTCGTCGAGCTCAGGGAGGCCTACAGTAACTGCTTCAGCCTGAAGCTCTTACATAATTTCTTGGATCGATTCAACGTGGGATAGTTTCCTAGGGACATTAGCTCTAACTATGCAAACCCCCTCGGAACCCGCCCTTCGGAACCCGTCGTAACGGTACACGATCAGTCGAGAACCCCACTGAGCTCGACCAGAGCACCATGTTTCCGGGGCAAACTTTTCTGATGCCGTCCACGTAGATGGCCACTATGAAGATTTTCTTATGGAAATGAAATGCGCTCTTCAATTCTAAGTTGGAAGCACATGAAGGCAGGGCTGTGATATAATCCATTGAGTCTGGAGATAAAGATATCTTTTTTATAGCCCCCTCTGTCATACAAGGCAATAGCATAGCGATGCTGAGATCAAAGTCATGAAAATCAAGGCAAGCATTGGCTCCAACCATTTCTCACACTAACTAAGAATCGTTAACAAATAGAGAAAAAATCAAACATATGAAATATGTAAGGCATAACTATGTGCTCACGAATGTCTTCAAGTCTTGTTTCAACTCAAGCCAACAGTTGACCGAGTAACGTCAAGGATAGAAGGAGTGGTTTACGGGGGTCTTGCGTTTTTGAATCGCTGGTGTTCCAGTGATTTCGATTTTGCTTCGTATTATTATGGATCTCATGCGCGCACGGGACACAGCAAGGAAGGGAGGAAATGGGGGGCGATGTGCGGATGTTTTGGATGAGGGGAGGGGGGTACTACTCAAGAGGGACATACCTGAATGAAAACGCGACGCGTGAGCTTGAAACCTAGGTGGAAGACTTGTAGATGTCGGGGGGTCGGGTGAGCTGCTTTTGCCTATCTATCCTGGTAGCTAGAAAGCAGGTGCTTTGGCTATCCAACACTAAGTGGATAAGATATGTAAGTAAGGCGAACCCGATTTCCCAGCGCACTCTTTATAAGGACCGGTGGATGGTTGTTCCTACACAACCTGCCATATCCTACCACGAGGGTCATGTGGAATTCGTCCATGCCTTAGGCCTAGGCAGAGGTGTTCAGTTCTCCTGGTCCAGGAACGTTCCCCTTGACGGTCATGGCAGGCGGAAATGTGAAAACGTTTCAGGGTTTCTCACCCATTACACCAATATTTATCAGAAGTCTACTTTAAATGAGTCGATTACGTGTCGTGAGCCCTCTAATCCTTATCTTGAGTATTGGAGAAAAAATGGAGTGCCCCCCCCCCCCCCCCCGAATGGAGTTTCACCGGTTTTGGCTTTTAACATAATCTTCTATTAGGATATACGCAGCACCCCGTCCCTCCTACGGGCCGGAGAAACTGTAAGAAACCTTTGTTCAATTCTTTGTTTTCCTCACTGTATTTTTTACCTTTCCGTTCCGAGACCATTTTTCTTTCCGAATACGAGAATAGTCGCGGTTTTGCTAGTCTGGGTTGGGAAAGGTGAGAGAACAGAGGATTCCTTTCACTTCCCTGGCTAGGCAGGAGCGTAAGGGGTGAAGAGCGCTGCGTACGGTCCACGACTGCGGTATGTCTGTCATCGAATAGGGTATTGTATTCGCATATTTTCGGAACGCTTTCGTCACCGTTACGAACTGTGAAGGTCGCCAACTTTTACGATTGACGGGTGTGGCTTGTGTCTGTGTTAATAACGATTTTTCGCGATAATATCGATCGTAATCAAGGCCAACAATCGATGAGCAGAGATCAAGCTGGTTCGAAAGTGAAAACCCCTTCGTCGTCGATGACAAGCTAAACATCACGGCGAAATACCATTTCCGAACTGCATATTTTCCTCCGGTATTAAACGTAAAAACGTATGGGTCATAGACCATCGATCAATAAATCGAATTAAAATGAGTATGGAATAAATAGATTACTTCTGTTTAATTCTGTAGTCTTTTTAGTTTGTAGTCAAGAAAATCAAGAAAAGCTGCATATAAAAATGAGTGAGGAAATGGTCATCCAGTAAGGGGGCATGTGCTGCGACAGTTCATATTGCATGAAGTAATTCCACTTTTGAGGGGGGGGGAAGCTCCGGGGTGGGTGTAAAAGTTTAAAGCGAAATGGTTCACGCACTAAGGCGCCCGTAAGTCGGCGCTCTCCCCTGGGGCAGGGTTCGCTTGGGAATTGTGCTGTAGCGCCCGCGCAAGCACTGTCAGCGGCCACGTGGCCCCCGCTTAACGGGTATTGAGTACCAGAGTTAATTGATTTATTTATAAACACGGACATGGATCATTACTTAAGTGCACACTATTTGGAAATGATAGTAGAATTATTGCATGGTCCCCTAACCTGAATAATAATGAGAAGTGGAAAAAGCCTGGAAAATGCCGACATGGTAGTAGGTAAAATTGAAATTTCATGAATGAAGAATTCCTCACTCAGTAAAATGAATAAATTAGAAATAGCAGAGCAAATATAAAAGCCCGTGAATTGAACTCGGTCTGAAGTAAGTCTGGCGATTCATGGGATTATAAGGCTGTTCTAATATTTTTGTTTAGCCCAAGGATGCAGAGTTATGGGCAAAACTCTATCCCCACTTCCCAGCGGGACTCGAACCCACATGTCTCGTTTTTTCCAGACAGTGTACTGCCAGTTACACTTCCGGGAATCATTTTACCTTAACTCAGCTTTTGCTGCTATATTTTCCATGGCTATCATTGCCCAAATGTTTAGCGCAACACAAACAAGTCAAAAGTTTCCACACTTATTATTAAAAAGTAAAAAAAAGTTAGGGCTCTGTTCCAGGGATTCTATATCTTTTTCTCGGGATAATTTTGAGGCGCATGAGAGCTCAAGAGTAGGAAATCGGGAAATAGTTCGAAGATGTTCAAATGGCCCTCTCCGGAGATGCCAAGGGTTAGAATAACTGCGCTCGTCGGCTTGCGAAGACGAATTGAAATAGTGGGAATATTGTCGGAAAGATTTTGCTATAGATGATTAGATAGCTATTTTTAAGGGCCTAAACTAGTCGCCAAAATGATCACCAGTGCAAAATCATCTGGTTGTCTAATCGGCGGCTTCTATGTTTTAGATCTTTTTTACGGTGCTTATGTTTTTGATAGCGAAGTCAACCGAGAGGGTATCTCAGTGCAAAAATTCAGTGGCGACTGGCTAACTGTGACCGGCGGATGTCAGTACACCATGGAAGGGCTAAAAAGGCTAGAAAAAAGCTTGTTGGTAGGAGTTGAACAGAAGTTCCTTAAAGAATATGTCAAGATAAATTAATCGTGGGGCACTTAGCGAACAAAGCGTTGCCAACCATTTGGGGTAGGCCCATGCACTTTCCTTTCTAAATCGGAAGCATAGCATAATAGAAGATCAAAAGCATTGTAAAATTGCATTCCACATTTTATTTCTTCACGCAATTAGTTGCAAGGCTGTATGAGGCAGTATTTTTACTTTGTGAAACAAAAAACGGCGTGAAATAATCATTGTTCCTCCCGGGTGTACCATCGCTGGCAAGGTTTCCGATTTGATATGGTTACCTTGGGTGTGGTGTGGTGTTTGGCGCTACCCTGCACTGAACTTCTTCTTCATGTGAAAAACCTAATGGACTGATATTGTGCACTGCCCCTTGAAAATCGAGTAGCAGTTAGAATGTTCCCTATTTAGTGGTAATTTGTCGCCGGCCCACATAAAGGTAACACTCTCTCTGGACGAGGTGCGACACCCACTTGATTTCTGAACGACCCACAGTTTGGCGAACAAACACTTTTGAAGGTGAATCATCAGAGTTTCCCATTATTTACGTTGTATAAGTAAGAGTAATCAGATCAGATCCAGGACAACGCGTTTTTTCCACGCCAAACGCATCGAAACACGCTGCTGCGGCACTTTCTCATCGGATAGTAAACCGGCCCCACATGGAGCTTTCACTAGTTCTCCGCTCACCCACTCGATCATAGCTAGAACAAGAGATCAGCAACTATCCCGGGGAGTGATAACGATAATTACATGATCGCAGTGTCAACAATGGTGATCGTGTTTCGGCATAATAGCACTCTGAACATAATGGGGTACGGTAGTCAATAGAATACGTGACGGCTGGATGGAATATGGCGAAATTGCAAAAATGAATGGTGAGCTACTGTTTCTCTGTTTCTGGCACCTTCCAGAAATGCTTCACCAGCGCCTGGGCTGGCAACAAGGTTCTGGCTTGAAATTTCAAGATAGGTATGAGGTAACTACTTTGTATAGGACTGCACCGACGAGTAGGCTGAGCGATCGTTTTGGCTGGGTTTTATCATTCTCGTGATTACGCAACGCATACGCACGCACACCTTTTATGTTTTGCGGCCACTTAACTGGACATGGAGAAGTGCGTTCTAGATTTTAATCAAAGTTTTTTTTTTGCTCAACGGATAGGATAAAAATGGGTTAAAAATAATAATGAATGGAATGACCGTAAAGTAAGAAAATATTGTCATACACTTTTCACATCTTCGATCATCACCGAGTGTGTGTGATGTTCCGTGAGTCGAGCTCTTCGATGAGGTTTTTTTCTTGGCGACATCGTCCAACATAACGTGCACCTCTCGACCAGGCTCAGTCGGTGATTTCCAAAAGTCAAGCTGAAATGTAACAAATCAGTCAGTCCGATAGTTTTATCAGTCCGTCAATATGCATAACTCATTATAATAAACCTTACATGGCATAATAAATAATTTAAATTGGACATTAATCCCAGATAGGCCGCAAAGGGTTTTCTGTATATTTTTTATTGCCTTGTAGAGGTTTGCTTCAATCCCCAACGGCTCACCATATGAGGACGGTAGAAATTTTTGAGAATTATTAAAAATTATAAGTACATAGTTTCACAATTAAGTGTATAAATAATTAACTAACTAAACTATGATCAATATAAATTGGGGTCTCATCAAGTAAGGGGGGCATCCGGTGCGACAGTTGCATATTGCATGAACAAATCCACATTTTTCAGGGGAGGGAAGCACCGGGATGGGTGTGAAAACTTAAGCGAAATGGTTCACGCACCTCGGGGTCCCCTCCCCTTGCAAAAATTGGAATTTCTGTAACCGACAGACAGAGACAAGACAGAAGAGAGAATTGTCTGTTCACACCATCATGTTCCAAATACTGGATGAGACCCAAAAATTCTATTGTGTTAAGCAACTTTTTAACAAAAATTATTTACAAACTAGGATGGTCATGCAATAATGGATTACTTATTTTCACTCACTATGAGCTTTGGAACAAAATTTTCAAAGGAGATCCTATGTTCTATAAATTTATCTACAAAGTATCTGCTTGCAAACATGATGCTTGCCATGCTCCCTTCTGCCTCAAACACATTGGCGACGGGGGCTTTGAAAGCAGGGTCGGTCTTGACCGTTGCGACTTTTCCGAAATTTTTTACGACCCCCCTTCACCACCTTCACTATCATGGTCGCTGTTTCTATAATATTTAATTCTGAGATCAGTCGACACACCTAACTCCACCCACTTTTCCTCCAAAACAGCCGTCGAGCGGGGGAAGGGGGTATATACGTAATCAAACGGGCAAAATTTTTCCCTTTCCTTTCCCACTGCGCTCCCTCCCAACTCATTCCATGATTTCTCCAGACCACATCGAATAGCGACCCTCCCCAACCTACAAACTCACAAAAGTACGGACCCCCCCCCCCCCCGTTGGGACTTGTCCCAACATAGGATCGACCCTGCTTTGAACAGCAAAAACTCTTAAAATCCCTTGTAGATTTCAAAATTTACATCTACTGTACCTTCCCAAAGGGGAACAGGCTCCTGTTTTGGGAGATCAAATACAACACCGCTATTTATGGTTTCGTCTGTGGTCACCACCCTGCTGTAAATAACTTCATGGCATCTGAGGAAAACATCCGAAACGCAATTTTATTGCCGCCACTTTACAACAAGTTTTATGGCGCAAAACCCCCTACCCCCTAGAAATGTTCAATAGGCAACAGAAGCAAAGGAAGAGAAATGGAAATGAATAAAATGCATGCAAAAAAGTGATTTCACAAAAGATCTGTCACTTGTGAAGTGAAGCAGTTTTGTAGAATATCATTGTGTGTCTTATTTGTGCCACTATTCGTCGTGTTGCAAATGGTGAACTTTTCAAAAGATCACTTTTCTGATAGGTTTCGCAAGTGTGTTTGGGCCCGGAAATTGAAATCAAACATGACCACAAAATTATGTATCAAAAATCAGATTTTTCTACGACCGAAAATGGACCGGACCGGACCGAGGCAAAGCGAATTTTGGAATGAACGAATTTTCGCAAAATGTCAAAAGAGAAGTAATGGTTATGTACTTTTTGGCATGCAGGATGCATGCACTGAAACAGGATGCAGCGTAATACAGAGGTAGCTCAGTCGATCTCACCACAAAAGGTACTCGACAGGAGACCCGTCGCGCGACAAGAAGGGCAGAATCAGGCGGACGAGTCGCAGCGTACGCTGTGCGATGTAGGACGTACAGTGGTACAAACTAATTATTCATAACTTGACGCGAAATCAATGTTAGCACGCTCTGCGAGCGACTCGTCCCGCGAACATCCGCTTCTTGTCGCGTGAAAAAGGCCTCCCTGTCGCGTACGCCCACGCAAATATGAATAGGACTCTTCGTGTGAATAGAGAAAACATGAAATTATTACATAAATAATCAGCAGATTTGTTCTTTGGACTGCTTGATTCACCTTACATGACTCAAGTTAAGCGGATGACGCTAGAGATAACGCCGCTCCTCGAAAAGCACGTACTGAGTTATGGAACCCAAACCGAGTTTCTAAATGATGGGCATTTCCTAGGCTGGAGGAATACATCTTTCTAAGATGAGACGTATTTAACTAAAAGGTTTGTTTCGCTTTTTACTCAGACGAACCAATGCATTCCGGCAACCCCTACCCCCGAAACTGTATGGAGAGAGTAACCGGTATAACTTCGTATATTGTAATGGGACGTGAGTTACAGAGTAAATAAAGGATAAAAAGGATAAAGCATTTGCCGTTGATCAATCCCTTTTTGGGATGCGGCACGCATTCTACTTCCATTTGTACATTCGTAGTGGCGTTTGAATGCGATGTGGCCTATACAATGACTTGCGGGGGCCAGCCGATGTACAAGTCAGTGTTTTTATCCTCCCAGACAAGTCTGGTACCAATTAACCGACCCCGGAGGGATGGAAGGCTTGGTTGGCCCGGGCGACTCACGACCCAGGATTTGATCCCCGGACCGCTCGCGTGGTAAGCGTGCCACTTGCCACTACACCACTTCCGCCCAGAGAGAGATGACGATGAAAAAAAAGGAATCTCTTGCGAACAGTGCTCGAGATCAGAGCAAGAAGGGTGGATAAAGAAGACTGAAAAAATGATGCACGAAAAGCACTGGAGCGAGAGTGAGAGTACAGCAACAGAGTCAGGGCAATCATCCATCAGAGATCATGAACGACTATGTAAATTGTTTTGTTTAGTATAAAATTACATTTTTTTATTGAACAGATGTGAATTGTTCCGTTGTCATTCAAATGGGAAGGTTATTTTTCAAACTCGATATTTTTTTGAAATTTTAGAAGGAGAAGTCATTTAGTTTCCTTTCACAAGTGCCCTCGTAGGAGTAAAGAGAAAATCGGAAAGGCTTTCCTCCGCGCCAAGTAAAGAAAAATTTCATCCTTGAATTCGTTAAGATTTTTGCACGTTTCGATTTCTATGAAACTTCGGTGTAAAGAAAAGAAAAACATATGCAGGGCAGATATCCATTTGAAAAGGTCCATGATTTCAAGTGGAAAACGAAACAAAGTCAGAGAACAGGGCAAGGATGGAGAGAGAGGGAACGAGTAGGAGCACACAGATAAAGAAAGGTCTGGCGACAAATGAGAAGAATAGTTCGGAGAATAGGGCCACTAAGTGAAAGAAAGAGTGCGAGCAAGCGAAGAGAAAGTTTGAAGAAAGAAAGTAGGAAAGAAAATTGAGAAAAAAAGATTATTTCTGTCAAACTGAAAGGCACGAAAACAGCTCTCCAAGGACGCGGCAAACGTTGAAAAAGGTAGTAAAATGACATGGGAACGGCTAGTTCGAGGATCAGGTGAATAGTCGTAATAGAGCGGATCAGTTGTAGAAACCAGGAATTCAGAAAAAAAAACAGTGACAAATAAATCAAGAAAGGAAAGAAATTTGTTGAAAATGATGGGTTTTTTCCCCGAACTTGAAAAGGGTGAAACCGGGAACGCCATCACTTGCACGAACAGCTGAAATGATGCAATTAATCTTTTCTTGTTGTATTTTTTCGTCATGGATGGAAACCACTTGGAAGATGGTTACGGAAAGGTTGAGTGGAATTTCTTGAAGGTTGCGACGTGGAACTAGTTGATAGAGCAATTTTAATCCGAAAAGAAATGCGCTCGTCTAGCTCAGTAATGACTTTTGAATTAGCATGAGGAATTTGGCTTTTTTCGAAAATTAATCAAAATAGTTTAGCTGAAGAAGAATTATCTCAAAAGGGTAACGAGACCCAAGTTAATCACTGTTGTTGCACCAAGCAATCTGTTTTTATTCAGTTATTTGTTATTTATATTATTCTTTTCTATATTTATTATATTACTCTTTTATTTTTATTTTTCTGCTTGTTTTATTTATTCGTTTTTTACTTTTATTGTGAACCTTTGAGTTCGCCTTGATCCAATAGTAATTTACATAGGCAAGACGATATTCAAATCAAAATTTACAAAAACGGAAACAAACGGAAGTCGAACTAATTCTTTGATTATTCCCTCCCCCTCCCCCCAAAAAAATTCAAATTTCTAATTTCTATGTTTTTGCTCAATCTTAACTTTTTATTTACACATCCTCATAGACACCAATCAATCGATCTCAGAAGGAAGGAAAGATTAAGATACCTGAAGCCCTATCTTGGATTTCACCCGGGCTACTAACTAACCAATCCACTTGCGCCATCATCTATCTGATGAGAATTACTATTTTATTTATCAATATCGCGAATAATATATGATCACGCCAGTTCTGTACTGCCACACTGATGTAATCAATCCTCGTATCATAAGTGGATAAATAAAATAATTATACAAAAACACCGTAATTATTTGGGAACCACGGCTTCTGGATTCGGGTATCGATAAGCCGAAGAAAGCCAGGCGACTTTGGCAAACATAGAGACAACATATTCGATGTTCAATCAATACCTATTTTCATCATAGCTCCTTTCAGGATCACATAAAAGGGGCTAGTATATCGCATTGATCACCAACTACTGTAGGCGCCACGCCTCCAGCTTCCATTTAAATTGTGGACTTTTTTGAATGCCCATCTACCTTTGAGATGAAGTGGTCGAAAAATTTGAATTTGATCAAAAATCTTGATCATATATAGGTCTAATTTAGGATCATGGATATCAAGTAAAGCAGATGTGAACTATTATGTTCCGACCCGGGTCAGATTCGCCCTAGTTGGACGCAACCATATTTGTCGAACGATTACAACATCAGATCCCCAGAATCAAGAGTGTAACCCGACTCCAGTTCCAATTTTAATGAAGAATGAAAAGCTATAAAAACGCAGAGTTCCGAATGAATTTCATCCGGTCGTTAGTGCTGTGAAAGAGGTCAAAAACGAGACTGTGAAGAAGTGGAGCGTTATCATCTATCAGAGCGATCAAACGATTCATTGATTACTGCAGTAATCAGTAAAGATAAATCGAATTTCACCATGTCCGAGGCAAAAAACAGACCTTGACATCCTTCATAAGGAGTTGTTGAAGGAATTCGACGTCAGCCGTCGTAGCGGGTTTCAGTCGTAACACCGTGAATTTTCTGCAATATCAAGAAAAATCACTCGCAACACCACTCATTTGATGGGGAAACCCTAGGTGCCTTCTCAAAATCGATCCTGTAGCGGATTACAGCGATCGAAATAATCCACAAAAAATACTTGTTGAGATCAAAAGGGGTACCGCCGCTACCTCATTATCTGCCAGCGGGCCGTTTCAGAACGGGTTTTGTTCAATATGTTCTACAAAAAACGAACAAAACCCCTGCTGCTTATACTCCAGCTGCTGCTGCTGGAGAGGTTTGAAGGTCTCTGAGGCAAGAAGATACGGTAACAGTCGTTCTTACCTGGCATATGTCCATGCTAATAACGTGAATAGAATGATGACTAGATTTGAGTGGGAGATCATTGATACCACTTTAAAGGCGATATGGTGCCGTTAAGAGGTGTGGACGAGTGCTTTGGTGATCAGGTGGACGAGAATAACCTGAAGACTGCCGTCCGGCTCACTGACTCAGATGGACTGATCGATTGGGTCGCACCAGATCAGATCAGAGGCGACGAGTTCCGTCCGAGTCGAGTCGTCTGAGCCAAGCTCGGCGCAGCGTTGTGTCGACCGGTTGTTCGTGATATACAAATGCAGGTTTGGGCGGCCCGAACACTCTTCGCCCGCCCCCAGTCCACCGCCTCTTCAACTAACACTACTACGCGCCCCACGATCATGCTATAAAGGCTGTGGTAGCGGCGTAGATATGTACACGTGTGGAAGAACACTTAGCCGTGACGGTCCTAACAGAATTTTAAAGGACTATTCTTGTGGAGTGGGACTAATCAATATAATAACAGGTTCGCTCCTGTTACTAAGGACGCGTTGTCAAAGTTTAATGGTGCTCGCATGCAGTGAAATCGGAGAGGGTTTAGCCTATTTCGAAGAACAAGCCTGGAGTACGCCCGTTTAGTCTCCCGCCCTAGAATTGCAGATGCGATTGATCGAGCGCAAATGCTCATAAATCGCCTGGTTTGAGATCGAGGTGAAAGACAAATTGACTACTGGGCGTAGAAGCAACCATGCTATTGTGACGTCCTGTGATGAGGCAGCCGTAGAGGAGCAAAAAAGTCGAACTTTTGTGGGGATTAAGCTCTGCTTAGGGTCTAACAGTATCCAGTGATTGCGATGGGACATTATACCGTGTTTTTCAAAAGTGAATTGTTGAATGACTTAAACCTCAGAAATGAAGTCTTAGCTCCAAATGTTTGACCTTCCACATTGCTTAGCGTGTGTGAGTGGCTACGCCTATGGGCATTTTCATTTTTCAGATTCAGGCATTATGTGAATGTGTGTCCGATCTGTACAAATTGCTGCAACCACACTGTAACCGCTAGATACATTCATTGCTTTGGAATTTCTTGGCCACCAATGGATGAGCGCCCGTAGTAAAGCTTTCTGGCTTTAAAGAATTGCTCACGCGTCTGTGAATACGTGGTGCAGCTTACGGACGTTTCGATAGATTCGAAACAATGGTAGGTGAGTTTTTTTCGCTAGGTTGAACCGTTGCAGGTACCCCTGGGTGAACGGGTTTTCCAGGGTGAGTATGCTACCGCATAATTGTCTGTTCATGTAGCCATCGATGACCTTGATCTCTGTCTAATGATTTTCTCTCTGATGACTTTCCAGCTTTTGAAGACTTTTGTTTAGCGCAGTGGGTATATTCTCTCTTGAAGCACACAGGGGTTATTTTGATCCTCTTGCCGTCACATTTGAACTGAGTTTCCATCTTGAATTAGCCGAAATCGTGAGCCATCACATCTTTTGTTGAAAGCTTTGTAGGCTCAAGATCCTTCGAAATATTGCACGAAAGTGGTGTGCACGGCGTTACTCAAGCGTTTCTTGGACAAACTTCCGCAGTTTGTGACGAGCGGTAGCCGGGCACGCTCAAAATGTTGCACCTTCAACAAGGCCACCATTCGACAATGTCGATTCAGCACAAAAGAACACTTCATACGAAAGCGAAAGCGCCGTAGTCGTACCAATGTGACAATGGTTTCGGGAGGGTTGAAGGGAAACGGCGAGTTCACCCTCGCAATCCCACCAAAATGGCGCCGGCGCCGTCCGAGGTCGAGAGGAAAAGAACTGAATCGCAATCGAGGTGAAATGACTGTTGAACTAGACTGGATAGTAACTCTTGAACGAACAATAAGCTTCACGAATCCACACGGGACAAGTCTGACAAAGGCATCGCGGCCTCATTTGTTGTTGAAGGTTACTTTTTTATCATTTCCAAAGCGAACCTATGGAAAATTGTGCGCTCGCTCATGGAACAGCTAAGGTCACATGAAAAGTGTCAAATCGGGGCGGGCTTGTAACTTAGCGGGGGTGGAGCAGGTAGGTGACAACTCGTGCAATAATATCATAATCTCTATGAATCTCTAGGGAATAATATAGTTCGAACCCAGCTGTAATCATTCATACTCATAATGTGACAGTATTCCGAAATTTTTGAAATTGTAATTTCGACGTACCCTCCCTTCAAAAAGCGAGAAAGTGTCGGGTGCAGACCATGCACCACAAGTGACGACGGCCTTCACAAAATGTTAATGTTTTCTGCCAATGAAATGATTAGCCTGTTGCAGTTGTATTCTATCGATTGTCACTAATTACAACTATCATTTACCAGAAATCAGCTATCACTATGAACAACTTCTAACCAGATTTACTTGGAGGCCGTCGTCAGTTGTGGTGTTTGTTCTGCACCCGACACACACCCGACATTTTTCTCATGAAAAGTTAGCTCATCGGAAAGAAGGGTAGAGGTGGTCAGTGGACCAGGGGTTAAGAAGAAGTCATCAAACGGCACGAGACCCAAATTACTCAGGACCCGCCTTCATTGCCCTTTGATTTGCGCATTGATGGGACTCTCATCTCTGTGCCCTCTTCAAAACTATTGCTCTATCTGCTATCTAATCACTGGCCACGTGGCGAGGAATTGCACAGTCGGTGGGCGTACCGCGCCAATCACGCCAAGAGTGAGCCATGCTAGTTTGCCGAGCTCAAATCTTTTGCCGCCAATTGGGCGTCGGTCAGCACCCTCAAGCAGGTCCGCCTGTCTCCCTACTATGCTATTCTATACTATGCCCTTCTTGAACCATCATTCTTATCGTGAATTCATCCTTTAGAGGAACGTACGCATTTTTTTCTTGAGGTCTCAAAAGAAAATAGTTGAAGCAATCAAAGTGATTCCTCTGTGTACAGTATTTATTCCTACAACAACCTGCGCGTTTTCTTGGGAGGGTCAGCCACAGTTCTGAGGTGGATGGAATTGGGAGCTCGCGAAGAGGTAAATCCATGTACCACTAGGCCAGAGATGGTCGCAATATATGTCGAAGTTCTTCGTCAACTAGCTCATTATTGGAGTTAGTTGCTAAGAAAATATACTCATCATAGTGGGAGACTACCGTAAAAATAACTACTACCGAAAGAAATGATGGTAATAATTGAGCCGTCTAAGGAAGTCGAAAATCGGAACTCGGTCGCGACTTTCGTAGGTAACTTCGGAGGCTTGCTCAGTTAACTTCAGAGAATTTCCAGATCTAAATAACGTTTAAGTTACACTCGAAGAACTCGCAGCTATCAGAGAAGGATTTGATTTCTGGCCTTATCCCTCTGTCGCTGAATCATTGTCCCTTTATAACACAATGCTGTGCTCAATAACGTTTTGTGCGTGATTTTTGACTAACCCGTTTCTCCCTTTCCAGAGCCTCATTCGTGGGAATTCCTAATTTTCTTGGTCCACAGAGATGTATAGATGCGAATCCAAAGATCCATGTAGTGGCGTCAAGTTGGCGGCGTAGTGCAGGAAAGCACAGTATCGCGTCTAGTCGAACTCGCTTGCTTTCTCGTTTGAGTAATGGGTGGAAATGGGTTAGATTTCCGTGAATTCTCAGGCCTGGCTACCTTTTCTTCTGTCCCTTTTGACGGCGAAAGGTTTCCATAAGCATTTTTCTTATTTATTTCCTTTTCTCAATCTTTAAAGCATAAGTTGGCTATAACACCTCTAAATCAGCTTATGAATGTTCTGACCTTGGCAAGTAGAACTGAGCAGTCGGCGGTTCAACTAGTGACTAATCCTTTTGAGGGAGCTGCACATATTTTACTGCGATTCACTCTCGTAGCGGCTTTTGATACGTTTTGGCCTATACAATGACTTGCGGGGGCCAGCTAATGTACAAGTCAGTGTTTTTTCCTCCCAGACAAGTCTGGTACCAATTAACCGACCCCGGAGGGATGGAAGGCTTGGTTGGCCCGGACGACTCACGATCCAGGATTTGATCCGAAAACGTGCGCGTACTGATAAGTGCCACTTGCTAATACACCGTTTACCGCCCGTGTTGAATTTGCTCCATGAGAAGAATATTTTGGCCAAATTGGTTGGACCGACTACTTCAATGTCACGCGAAACTGACGATGGGCCTAGTCAACTAGCTCTGTACCGACAACGTGGACCCTATAACCCTTCCCCTCCTCCCAACTCGAGTTGTTGAGGAAAGTAGCTTTTACCAAGGTTTTGTCAGCTTTTACCAAGGTTTTGTCACTCATCTATGTGCCCTGATCATTTCGAGGAAGAGAGGCATCTTGGGGCCGTATCCTCTCCCATGGTTGGGGAGACAGGGTTGCGTCACAGGACCAGCAATACTCTGCGTTTCTAGACTTCAGACAGCACGACCCCTCAGAGAAAAAGTGCCTGAACAGGGGAAATTAGCCGCAACAGTTCCGAATGAATTTCATCCGGTCGTTAGTGCTGTGAAAGAGGTCAAAAACGAGACTGTGAAGAAGTGGAGCGTTATCATCTATCAGAGCGATCAAACGATTCATTGATTACTGCAGTAATCAGTAAAGATAAATCGAATTTCACCATGTCCGAGGCAAAAAACAGACCTTGACATCCTTCATAAGGAGTTGTTGAAGGAATTCGACGTCAGCCGTCGTAGCGGGTTTCAGTCGTAACACCGTGAATTTTCTGCAATATCAAGAAAAATCACTCGCAACACCACTCATTTGATGGGGAAACCCAGGTGCCTTCTCAAAATCGATCCTGTAGCGGATTACAGCGATCGAAATAATCCACAAAAAATACTTGTTGAGATCAAAAGGGGTACCGCCGCTACCTCATTATCTGCCAGCGGGCCGTTTCAGAACGGGTTTTGTTCAATATGTTCTACAAAAAACGAACAAAACCCCTGCTGCTTATACTCCAGCTGCTGCTGCTGGAGAGGTTTGAAGGTCTCTGAGGCAAGAAGATACGGTAACAGTCGTTCTTACCTGGCATATGTCCATGCTAATAATGTGAATAGAATGATGACTAGATTTGAGTGGGAGATCATTGATACCACTTTAAAGGCGATATGGTGCCG